CCCCCGCCTGTACCTGTATGAATATGATACCCCCTATACAATCCATATACACCACATCCATCATGTCAAAATGTTCTTTTTTCCTTTATATACTAAAGTAAAATAAAAATCCAGTGGGTATTAAATACCATCAAAATAAATCTACATTTCTCGCCAAAAAAATTATATACATTTCATTTGAGTACACTATTGCATGACCGAGTAATTGTTTGTAAAACTATCAGAGCACTAAAAACTAAAAAATTGCCTGTAAATGAAGGGGGTATAACATGCTGGTATTACAGTGGTTAAAGTAGGAATGATAACATGTTTGTTTTTACTCCAATAACTTTTTAATGAAAGAGTTTGACATGTTTTGTACGCATGTTCATTTGAATATCAATTAATAAAATATTGCTGCATGATTCTAAATGAAACCTTTCAGCATTTCTACACCCTGATGTACCTGAGTTTTTACCCAAACTGGCAGAACACTTTAAGTACTGGACAATCAATCATTCTATGTTTTTAATTTTCTATCATGCAATACTTTTAAACATAGAATCTTACTAGTGTTTATGGGAAATAACAATGATTTCATTTTCTCCAATTTTGAAACATCAATGACCAATCTGTCATTTTTTCAAAGGTTTCGAAGGTACTGGAGATCCTTAAACCAAATGAACCAACTGAAGAGCTGGATACCATAAAATATTTTCCACAGCTTGTTGAAGAACTAAACAAAATCAACAAACTACCTGCTCTGTTTTTTGCGTGAGTAAATATTAGATCAAGTTGTTTTTTTATGTGATTACACATTTAAGAAACATCCTTTGCTTTAGTCACTGTTTGGAGCATCTCTAAACTAGTATGGCCTCTTTCACACGAGCACCTGTCGGTGTCCAATCAGCAGGGAATCTGTGCCCTTATCCCCTGCTGATCAGAGCAATTCAGAACTGATGTCACCGTTGTGACATGTGTCCGCCCATTTTTTTCCGTCCATTTTATGACCCTTTAGTTCTGGTTGCCCATAGACTAACATTGGGCTGCCGTTGGACTGCCTGTCTGAAAGGGGCCTCAGATTAGATAGTAATGTAAAGGTTAGGTTTCAACTACAGTTCATTATATTGTAGGTACAAAACTACACAATAAAGAAAGATCATGTTATACTAAATATAAATCGCTTTGCTGAGAGCAGCATTTCAGTCCATACACTATTTTCAGGATGCCAATGTTTTTATCTTTTTTTAAAAACTTTAGTTCTTTATTAGAATTTTAAAAACAATGCATGGAAGAGCAATCTGACGTAACAAACAAATATAGCGCAGCAACTTACTCACAAATAAAAAGGGGGACAAATGTAGGTACAAGAGTACAAGTTACAAATGTACATGTGGTTCCGAGGAAGGTACATGTGACTGCACAGGATGAGTGGTAGCTAAGGAGAAGTAACTTGAACTCCATATAACACAGTACTCAGGCCATAACCATCAGAAGGTATTAAATAACAAACAACTGAGGATGGATCAGTAAGTCAGGATACAGTAGGGGAGTGTAACATTAGTAAATGAGAGTATAGTAGATAAGGTAACATTGATTGCCCTAGGAATGAGTGGAAGGGGGGTTGAAAGGTGGAGAGCTGTGAGTCAGCATGGTACATCTGAGAAGCAGGGACATATACCTATGGAACATCTGATATACAGTACATGAACAGACAAACCAGAAAATAAAGTAGGAAGCATGGAGGAGGTAGAGATTGCAAAGAGGAGGGATGAAGAAAGAGGAAAGTATGAGGTTAGAGGAGGAGAGCTGCTTCAAATGAGTAGAAGTTAGGTTAGGTGAAAAACCATGCAACGAGAACAGTGGCGGACCTATTAACTAAAGGGCCCTGGTGCAAAATTTTTATTTTGGGCCCCCCTCCCAAGACCGGGGGGGGGGGGCAGCGGTCTCTAATATTGCAGTAGCGTGCTCTACTCTGGA